TGGGTGGTACTCCAGCATGGAATTCGTATGAGGAATGCGCATTCATTGTGGGGACATGTGTTGCTGCCGGATTGTGCAAGTTTGAAGTGAGTTTGAAGTTTTTGTGAGGGAAGGGTTGAAGGGGGGGTGGAACTTACTGCGAAGTCGAAGATGGCTGCAGTTCGCACCAGCTGTTTGTTAAGCCATGGGAAAGAATAAATCATCAAGTTACCTAAATAAATAAAATTTGGGAATTAATCACTTAAGGAATAACTGTGAGAGCCTCGAGGCTCATATAGCAGCCTACGCGCAGCTCCCCACCCACCACTCCGCCTCATGGCTGGCTCTAAATACTTTTGCGGAGTATCCGATTATGGAGGATCAAGAGTGTCCCTTTCCTTCGTCCTGTTCCTAAAGATTGTGCAAAACAACACGAAGGAGCCCGTACACCATCCGCGGAACCAAAATCATGATCGGATACGTCGGCAACGATTACCATCGATCTACACCGATCGCATGGACCCGCCAATGCCTCCTCCTGCGCAGCCATCGAATGCCGAGATCTTTGCCCTTCTCTCGCAGATTGCTGCCAAGCAGTCTCAACTCGAGCAGATAATCGAATCGCAGTTCAAACAACAAGCCGTCTCAAGCAGCATTATGACCCTTTCAACCAACACTCGCCTCGATGCCCTCGAATCTTCAGTGTCCCAATACCTCCTCCAACTCTCTCTCCAACTGCAGAACCCGACCAAGAAGTTCTACACTCGCTTTTTCGATCTTGCTCGTTTGATACTCGCCCGGATCCACCCAAAGCGCCTCTATCGCTCCTTCCGTGGATGTATCTCAACTCTCTCATTCGCCTCTCTCAACCTCCGCCGCTTTCTGTCACTTCCCGACACCACTTTATTCCTCGAACCTTCCAAACTTAACTCACACTCCTCGACAGCTCTCCCTCTTACTACCAGACTGCGTACTTTCGAAGCCAATTGAAGCATCTTCAGACAATCAAATGGGGAATCACAGCAGTCGGGCGCTTATAATCCTACATCCTCCGGCCCTGCAACTGTCGATTATCTTCTTCGAAGTGAAGCATCTCGTTGTTTTGATCCTTATCGGATGCAAGCTTGGTGGACCGATCCCGGTCGAAATTGGAAACCTCGAGTGCCTTGAAGCCTTGCATTTGGGCCAGAACCATCTCGAAGGCCCCATTCCCTCCTCCATTTCCTGTCTCAAGCACATGATAGTGTTGTCCCTGAACAGCAACATGCTTTCTACATCGGTTAGCCTGCGATTGGACAACAATAAACTGTCGGGTGCACTTCCATCGTCTCTGGGCAACCTCAGTAAACTGGCATCGATGCTTCTTGGTAAAAATTCGTTTTCTGGGCCTGGGGCCCCTCTCGACTTTGAACACGTTATCCCTCGAAGAAAACGAGGAGTTGACCGGAGGAGCTTGGAAATCTCACTGAACTTCAACACTTGTATCTTGGAACCTGCAACCTGTCGGGAGAGATTCCGCCTGAACTCGGCCACCTCGCAAACTTGAAACAACTGAAACAGTGGGAACGTGTTGTTGTCTGGCGAGGTACCTGCGGAGCTGGCGGCATTGGACCGTTTGGAGTTGTTGGATGTGCGTGGTTGCCCAAATATCTCGTGTTCTGTAAATTTGAAGATGGTGTGTTGCGAGAGGGAGTGATGCTTGAGGAATCAGAAGACGAGGACGGTTCAGAAGATGGCAGCGAATTTGAGGAAGAAAGTGACTTGGGATGAAAATCAATATATAGATAAAGGTACGGTCTATTCGCTTTTGTCTCTCAAGTCAAACATTTTTTCCCGCCCAATTCCTCGAATGACACCTTCGAATGTTTCCGTTACGTCTTCCGCAGACAACGCCAGCACCGCCATTGAGTATGGAAGAACACGGGCACAGCTTGCCGTGCTTCGCAAAGGCCTCCTGTTGGTGCGTTATTGCGTGTCCTGACCTGCCTAACTCGGAAACAGGAACAAGCCAAGGCGAAGTCGCTCGAAACTCAGCTGAGAAACAAAGATCAAATGCTGCGCGATGCAAACCAGCAGATGCTTCTGTTGTCGGCGCATAACGAGACCCTCGTAAAGCGAATCGAGTTGATGGCTAGGGAGAACGAGTCCTCGTCTGGCTTTGCGTCCTTGATTCCGAGCATCTTATTGAAGGTATTCAAATACTTATATACCTAGTGATATCGTATCGTACCTTGTAATGCTGAAGAATGTTTCAACCTCCTCTCAGAAGAAACCAAGTACCGCCAGCATCTCCGCAAGCCTCCACAGCCATCAAGACATGGAACTCGTCTTTGACCAGATGGAATCGAAAGCAATCGAAAACGGTATGCTTCTTGCTTTCGAATCAAGTCATTCTGACACCCCTCTTCCACTCCGCCCCCAGCCGACCTCCGCGATCAACTCGAATCCACAGAATCAACACTCACATCCCTCCGATCCAAGCTCTTTGATACTGAATCCTCTCTTGCGGAATTAACCGCGTCGCATGCGGACCTCGAATCGCGGTCACAGGCTGTGCAAACTCAGCTCGAGAAATCACGCGAATTGATGGGTGTTCAGAAGCAGCGCGATTCAGTCTCGTTGCTGAATTTGACGCATTGTGTGCAAGATTGGAGGGCATTTGCGTTACAGGTGCAGGAATTGGGTGTGAGGCGTGCCGGCACGGAGGATTCGCGGGAGCAAACCTCTGCTCCGGTTATTTTGGAGCTGATGAATGGATTGCGGAAATATTGCGAATCTGCATTCGAAGTCCTCAGTGTGGTCAGTTTGGCGCCATTTTGTCGAAACCTAAAAGTTGTCTCACCCAACGACCCACGAATCACAGAACCTTCAAAATCCCCCCTCCACCTCATTCAACACCACGAACCCGAGTCTCCTGGACCCTCTCACCTCCCCTCAAAATATCCCGCCCCTGCGCAAATTCGAATCCGCCCTTTCAGCGTCCTGCCTCGCCCAAATCTCGTCCCTCTCGAACGTATCTCTCAAACGGCGGAGCATCGTGCTCGATTTGACTGTCGCAGCAATGAAGGACAGGGAATCTTCAGACAGGAACGATTGGACCGCGAGTCTTGTGACTGATTTGAAGGACCTTGCGGCCACGTTTCGAGATTTTGTCTCGTGTGTCGAAACTGCAGCTTCTTCATTAGGTAAGTTTGCAACGTCTCCCTCGGGATTGATTTGTCTTTCCCGCGACTTACCGAGAATTTTTCAGATCCAACCTCGGCAACCTCGCAACTCCACATCCACCACCTCTTCCTCCGCCTTCATCACACCTTCCACACCCGTCTTGCCCTCCACTGGCGCTTCAAACTCCACTCCACAACTCCAACCCGCGCCACCACCACCCTCCTCGCAATATTCCCATTTTCCACCCCCGCCATCCCTGCGAGTGTGGATGCTGATTCGGTGCACGCGCTCTACCGAATTGCAGACACACTTTCCACCCATCGCGTTTCCGCTGTCGCGCGCGACGCCAGGCCGGAGTCTGGTGTACAAACGGAATCCATGGGCACGCACGAATCCAACACCCAAACAGATGCTCTTACACGCACTGTAACGACCGGGTCCGATCCGATCCGAATTGATTTCAGTTGTGGGAAGGGTGTGCAAACGGATGGTGTCGAAACGGTGCACACGGGGACAGACGCTGCAGAATCGCACGGAGTGGGTGTCGACACACAAACTGTTGCAGTCGAGTGCTTGGATCGTGGGGTCAGGTCGGGTGTGGTTCACGTCGAGGAAATGGGGGTTCAGACTTTGACTGTCGAGGGTTCGAGTGTGTCGTGTCAGCAGAGTGGTTTTGTGGAATCTGTGCCTGTCCAAACGGAGACGGTTTTGACTGGGGTGTGTGGGACGCAGACTCCAGTGGATGAGGTCCCACTCGAGCGGGGGACGAGTACGAGCACGGAGGAGGTGTTTATACAAGCTCACGACGTGTTGGATCAACTTGGCGTAGGTGCAGTTGGGTCTGTCAACGAGGGCGTGATGGTTGTGGATGTGAATGGGGAAGAGGAGGATGAAGTCTCAGGGCGGACCACCAAATCGGAATCGATTTCGAAAGCGGGGCCGGGTGCTGCAACGAACGGAGTTGCGTCGGTGCCGAGTGGGGAAAAGAAGAAGAAAAAGAAGAACAAGAAGAAGGGTGGTGGTAGTGGTGCTGGTGGGGCTGCAAATGGGGCGGGTGGTGGATTTGGCGGTGGCGCGGTTGTGTTGACTCCTCCGAAGGCTGCAGAGTCGGATACATCCGTACCGCTTGCTTCAGTTGATCCAGCACCAACCCCAGCCGCTGAACTGGTTCCAAAGACTCACGAACTGGCGATTCTTCAACCCTCGGAACCCACGACTTCAACCGCAGCCGCTGCACTGGCTCCAGACGCAAACGAACCCGCTATTCCTCCACCCACCATTCCAACCCCACCCCGACCAGAACCCCCCCTCTCCCAAACCATCACCATCACCTCCCATGCGACACTCACCCACTTTTCCCTCCCCGCCGCATCCCTCCTCACATCCACCACGCCACAACACTTCACCATCGAAAAGGAAGGCAGCATCGACGCGGTATGGGATATGGATAGGATACAAGCGCTCGTGGACACATGTCGGAGGAATGAGGCGCGGTGTGTGCGGTATGAGCGGTTGTTGAGGGAGAAGGGTGGAGTGATGGAGGAGGAGGAAGAGGCGGTTGGATGTTAAATTTTGTCGGACAGGTGGTGTGTCATCGATTATTAAAGATGTAGTATTTGCGCTTTTTATTGAGAGGTCAGCAAAAGACACATTGGCATGAATGGAAATTTTGAAGGAGCGGCAAGGGTGTGCGGTGGTTGTCACTCATTTGAGGTTCCCCCGGTCCATGCCGCGGTAATAAAATCGAAACTTCAACTTTGGGCAAAAAATTCTCAAAATATTCCCATCCCAACGTTCCGTTCATCAACGTGCTCCTCGAGTGGCGTGACCGCGATGCGAAGCCGAAAGATAAAGTGCGATCCCACTGGGGATTGAACCCAGGACCTTCAGCTCCGGAAACTGACGCGTTGCCACTTCGCTATGGGACCGCTGATATGTTAACTCGCTTTCCTTTTCAAATCTCTTTTTGTTAGGTTCTACCCATCACCAATAGTGTTGATTTTCTAGGCTTCTCTCATTACCAATAGTGATGGCGGTCATTTTCGAGGATGGTAAAGGTTAATCGCGAAGAGACTAAAAAAAAAGTTCTCCGTCTTTGGCAGCGTTATGGAGAGAGAGATGGTTGCAGGGAAGAGTTGCGCTAAGGGTCTAAGCGTTGTGATAAAAGAACAGTTGAGTGTTGTATTTTACGCGTTTTTATTTCAACATACATCTCATCCCAAAACTCTAATCTCAAACTTCTCAGCGTCATAAAAATGCGTCATCATGCTCATTTGACCTTTCTCACGCGGATAGAACGACAAAAACAGCGAATTGTAGCGGTTTCTGAGTCCGACACTGGCGCCACCACACGAAATAATCTCCCAATGATGCTCCGTGCCCAGAGCTGAGAGATTACATCTTTGGAAATCACTCCATTGGGTGTATCCATGCGATCTCTTGTATTCGTGTGGCACACATGTGAGGCACTGATTGTGTCTCACGGATTCAATCACGATGAATTTGCCGACGGCGTGAATCCGGAACCGCTCTTCTTCACCGGTATAGAACCCCAAGAGACTGTAAGGTCCAGATCCTTTCCTGGATCGAATGAACATGTGAATTGATAGCGCCGGCCAAGCATTCACAATTCAACTCACTTCATGTAATTGCCTTGCCTGTAAAACGCCACCACCTGCTGATCCAAGCGTCCCGCATTCGTGGGTGGTGCGGCATTGCGGAACGGCGCCCAGAGGTCCAATGCGGGCCACAAGTTAAACGAAACGTTGATTGGGTTGTCGTGGATCTCAATGGGAACGTATGCAATGCCAAGAGCAGCGGCTGACATTTTTAGTCGTTGGGTGATCTGTTTTGCGAGGAAGCGGTGAGCGTTGAGACGGTGGTCTTGACTCGTACCTGCTGCGTTGTGTGTGCGAAAAATATTACCAAACTTGGCCACATTCCGCGCTCATCAGACACGGAGAAACTCCCTTCATACCATTATACTAATGAACGATTTCAACTAATAGTATTAAAATTCAAGATAAATAATTGTAAGTCTGTCAAACACACGTCTGGAAATTAAGTGAAGCTGGTTATCCATGTTATCCATTGTCCCCGGCGCGCCTGATTTGGAGGAGCGACAAAGCTTGTATTTATTGATAGCGCAGTTCATTCCAAATCACTCTCTTCATCAAGTTCACCACCAACTTCCGAACCTGCCTGGTCTTCCGATCCCTCTTCCACGACCACACCTTCTCGAAACTCTGCCGACCATGAGACACCGGGACACCCACGCACATCCACCGTCACCAAATCCTCCAAGGCTGCCAGCTCAGCAGGAAGCTCCCCAGTCGACGGCACGTTCCCCCAAGACCAATTCCTCCAGTTTCGAGAGTCGACTAAGCTCGCGCGGAATTCTGCCAGAAAAACTGCAGAAATCCAGATACATTCGCTCCAAGTTAGAGAAATTTCCAATCTCAGCGGGAAAGGAACCCCATGTCGCGAAGATTAAGGGTCTTAAAGACGCGAGGGAGCCCCATTCGGGTGGAATCAAGCCAGTGAGAGAGTTACCGGCAACATTCAGCACTTCAAGTTTGCAGAGACAGCTGAGGGATGCTGGTAAAGCACCAGACAAATTGTTGTAGCCCAGCGAGAGGATGGTCATGTTGGAGAGTTGACCCAACTCAGCGGGAATCGAGCCAGATAGTCGGTTATTATTCAAAGATAACTCCTTCAACTGTTTGAGGTTAGAAATGGAGGAAGGAATTTGCCCTTCGAGACGGTTCATGCATAAATCCAGTACTTCAACAGAGAGAAGGTTTCTGATCTCGATCGGAATCGGCCCATCAAGATTGCATCCAATGAGGGTCAAATGGACGAGATGCTTCATTTCGACAACAAGGATTGATAGTTGCGGGGATGGATAGGGGTTTTGCGCAGCAAATCGTCTTCGCCAACCGATTGTCTTGAGATTCTTTCATTGGCTTCGAAAGAAGGAGATTTGGTAGAAAGGGGGAGATTTGTCCAGGTACGTGAGGTCCTGGTCGGAAGGCTCGAAGGACCTGGTGGTGGGGTCGGGAAGGGGCAGAAAGCGGCAGAGGTTGGGAGAGGCGAAGGATTGAGTCGAAATACAGGCGCGGAAGGAGTGGGAGAGGCCTCGCAGCTTCTAGACTTGCTTTGGATGGATCCAGGCCAGGATCAAACGAGCAAGATCGAAAGGAAGGTCACGGAAGCGAGTGTTGAACTTCTTGGACGGGTTAAGCAGTTGGAGGAGTTGAAGGGAGAGTTGACAGTGATTGAGGGAAGTCTGATGCGAGTGTTGGGACAAGGAAGGCTCGAGGGCATCGAGGCGAGTGTTGGCTTGCACTTCGATCCTCTGCTGGTTGGCAGTGACTTTGTGGACTTCGGAAGGCAGTTGGGTCAAGAGGACAAAGAGATCTGCATTTGAAGGCTGCTGAGGAGACAATGGCGGGTCCATGCGATTGATGGTGGTGGGGGTAGGTATTACCCCTCCTGCTGTAGGGTATTTTTCTTTCAAATTTCCTCTTACTCTCGTCACTCAACTCAATGGTTTTATATTTCCATCGCTGAGGACGCGTCCGAGAAACATCATTTTCGATGAACGACCAAGCAAGCATTTAGTGGACAATTTATTGGCGTCTCATTTCATTCCAAATCACTCTCTTCATGGCATTGGTCCCTCAAGCAACACACCGTCTCGAAAATCCACCAAACACGAGACACCAGGACATCCACGAACATCCACTATCTCCAAATTCTCCAATGCAGCCAACTCTGCAGGAATCTCCCCAACCAGCCATCAAGTACAACTCTTGCAATCTCTGGAGTCGACCAAGCTCACGCGGAATTTCTCCAGACAAGCTGCAGCCACCCAGATACATCTCTTGCAAGTTGGAGAGATTTCCAAACCAGGAGGGAATGGAACTGGATACGCCTTCGTTTTCGTCGAGTTTAAGACTGTTCAAGCACGTGAGGGAGTCCCATTCCAGTGGAATTAACGCGGTTAGAAGGTTACCGGAAAGATTCAACTCTTCAAGTTGCTGAGGTGGCTGAGCGATGCTGGCAATGGACCAGACAAATTGTTGAAGCCCAGCGAGAGTGTGGTCATGTTGGAGAGTTGACCAACTCGGCGGGAATCGGACCAGACAGTTGGTTTGAATGCAAATACAGCTTCTCCAACTGTTTGAGACAAGAAATGGAGGAAGGAATGGGCCCTTTGAATCGGTTCCAGCGCAAAGTCAACACTTTGACAGAGACAAGGGTTCCAATTTCGACCGGAATCGGCCCATCAAGACTGCATCGGCTAAGGGCCAAATATACGAGCTGCTTCATTTCAACGACCAGAATTGGCAGCTGCAGGGCGGAGTGATGCGGGATTTCAACGTGTTCGAAACCGTCTTCCGTGATTCCCCAACAGATTGTCTTGAGCTGCATCCATTGGCTTCGAAAGTACGCGATCTGGTAGCAAGATGGAGAATTGTTGAGGAACGTGGCGTCGTGTTGGGAAGGCTCGAGGGACTTGGTGATGGCGGGGTCGGGAGAAGGCAGAACGCGGCGGAGGTTGAGGGAAGCGAACGAGAGCGATTCAATGCCATCGCGGAAGGAGCGAGAGAGGCCTCGGAGCTTCCAGACTTGCTTGGGATGGATTCAGGCCAGGATAAACAAACAACCGCGGAAGGAAGGGCACTGAGGCGAGTGTAGAACTTCTTTTTGTGGTTCAGCAGTTGGAGGAGTTGGAGAGAGACTTTGCGGAGGGTAAGGGAAGTCGGATGCGAGTGTTGGGACAAAGAAGGCTCTAGGGCTTCGAGGCGAGTGTTGGTTAAGATGGCTTGGTGTTGTAACTGCGACTCAATTCTCTCCTGACTGGCAGCAATCTGAGAGAGGAGCGCAAAGATCTCGGCATTCGATGGCTGCGGATGAGACGTTGGCGGGTTCATGCGGGGGATGGCTGGTCGTGGGCAGATTTGCAAATTGCAATCTCCCGTCAATCTCCCGTTTGGAAAGACCATTAATCCTACAGAATTCTTGGGAAATGAGGACAAGCCGAATCTCGATCGACGGCAATTTTGCGGTTATTTCTCTTGTTTTTATGGCGTGGGGACCACGCGTGAAACGCGAGCCCAACACGGGTGGCCTGGCCGAAAATCGAAAACCTTTTCTTTTACACCTTCCTGTGGGGTTATTTCCCCTTTTCGCCTATCACTGAAAGAGAAAAAAACAAGTCGAAACCCCACCCCTGACTTTCCGCCACCGCCACGAACTCCACCCATCATCCGAGAAACCATCCAAACACTCTGCTCATTGCATTCCACTGCATTTCCCTACGATATGGATTGGGAAGACAGCGAATGGGGGCCTCCTTTGCCTCCTCAACCTCCACCCAGCCAAAGTGCCTCGGTTGACGGAGAAACCCCCCGCGAGAGAGAGAGCAAGCGAATGCATTCCCGCGAAGGTAATTGGTTGGGTGTGAGAAGTGTTTTTTCTGGGTGGTGGAATCGCGGGCTGAATGTTTATTTCCGCAGAACCCACGAGCAGACCTGCGAACAACGCGACTCATGAAGAGAACGCTGGAAACACTGAGCACGGATCAGGTGCGGTTCTCTGACTCTCAAAAAAGAATTGAACAAAAGTGTTCACGCAACACCATCACTCTTGTCACACCCCCAACAAACAATATAGAACTGCAATTCTCGTCCGCGGACAGTGTTTCCGGTCGAATGAATGCCCTTTCGCTTGAGAATCCACCCGCTGCGACCGCCGTGATCAAAAACCCTCTCGTGACCAACAGCAACGATCCACGAGTCAATCTTCCAGAAGCGTGTCTCTTTATTGCAAGGTGGGTGTTCTCAGTGTTCCATCGTTGATTTTTGACGCACTCTATCCCCCGGCAACAAACCGCAGCTTGTCCTCTTCCGTCTCTCCACAC